AGTCTTCTGACTTACATGCCGTCAGTGTAGTAAAATTCATTACTCCAGTGTGGGTTGTACCTAAACAGTTGCTAGAATCAATTGTAAACTGATAAGCATTGCCTTCCTCAAGACCAGTCAAGACTATGTATATCATTATAGGTTTATCAACAGAACTAGAACTCATCCTAGTCCCTGAAACTTTCTGTGTTGCCTGAAATTGCTGTCGAGTATAGCTGATACTGTAATTTTCATTTGCATAAGAAGTTTTTGGTATTATAAAGGATATATTAGCGTTTGTTGTTCCAGGAATAGTTGTTACAGATGTAGCAGCAAAGGGTAGAATAGTACCTGCAATTAGAGTAGAAAAAATAAATCTACAAAATAAAAACACATTATTTATATCAAAAAAGTTTTATAATTTTAACACTTTTGTAAATATAGCATCATATTTTACACAATTTCTAATTTAACTTACAGTCAACATTCAATGTAAAGGCATCACTAGCCTCTTGAGAATCATAAGTAGCAGTGCTAGGATCATTGGTATTATTAAAACCAGTTACATTAAACTCAGCCAAACATGTATACATTCCAGCATCTTCAAACCTCACTGGATCCAGTATTAGAGTATAGTTAGTAACTGAACCAGTATCATCTCTTGTGATACTGTATGGTCTATTTAAATTAGAGAGCATTTCCATATCAGCATCATTCATTTTAAAGAAAGTAATCAATGGTGTTACTACTAATCTCTCAACTGTTGTTATGGTACATGTTATAGTTAGACTCTGACCAACTTCAACTGAACCAACTGATGAGAAATTTACTGTCATTGAAGGAAGACCTGGTAAGAAATAGAGTAAAGGGATGATAAAAAAGAGACAAAAGATAAGTAATGTGAAGGAGAATGATGAATGATGAAGTGCAGTTTTCATTACATTATAACTTACTTTCAACAGTAACAGGGAGGGTAGTATCAGTAGGTTGACTTGATGCTATTAAAGAGTTACCAGAATTGATGATCATTTGACAGGTATATGTTCCTCCATCATTATTAAGACCAGTATCAATAGGTTGAAACAATAGCATGCTTACAAGACTGTTATCAGTTGGAGGTATCACTTGACGTCTTGCTTCATTAATTGGTATTACATTACCACTAGGATCAGTCCATACTACACTAGCAGTTACTGGTGTATCCACTATTGTAGTGTTCACTGTAGCTGTACAGGTTAGTACGTAACTTGTACTCTCATATATTGGACCAGTTGGAGGATCAGCAACTATTGATACACTGGGAGGAGGTACTATGTAAGGAGAATAAAGCGCTTTAAATAATAAAAAAAATAATTAAATCTAACTTTGAACAGTTAAATCTCTGTTAGTACGATCTACAGTGCCTAATACTATAATTGTTGCTTGACAGTAATATTGTCTAGCATCAGTTGTCTTCACTGGATCAAATGTAAGTACACTAGTGAATATATTTCCAATTCTGACAACAGGTACTAGTGTAGCATCATTGTTTTCACTGGTCACATCTTGAGATGCTTCTAAATCATAAGTCCATCTGACATTAGTAAGATTTTCAACAAAATTAGGAGGTAC